GAGAAGGGATTAGATCTACTGAAAAAGTAAGTGTAGGAGGGAAGGCAGAGAGTGTGGGTTTAGGCACAAATGGTAGATTTGGTTGGTAAACTCATTCATTCATTCATTTATTCATTCAATACTGGCCTACATGCCAATTGCTATTCCAGGGGCAAGACATGAATGGACAGTGAGACAAAGCTCCTGCCCTTATGGAGTTTACACTCTATTGACAGAAGTCAAGCAATAAGTGTTAACAGATTAATTTATGATAGGTCAGATAGAAGATAAGAAGCACTCTTGAGAAAAATGAACTAGTGTAAAGGGGTTCTGGAGAGCTGGAGAAGAGATTACCATTTTTAAAAATCAGGTTGTCAGAAAGTGCCTTAATGATCAGGGAACATTTGAGAACAGACCTAAAGGAGGCAAGAGAGAAAGCCATATAAATGTCTTGGGGAAGATAGGTGGGTTGTAAGCAGAGGGAACAAAAAAATGTCCAATTCCTGAGGCAGGAGAGAGCTTGGCACAATATGAGGAAACTAAGGAGGCCATTGTGGCTGAACAAAATGAATAAGGTAGGAGAGTTGTAGGAGACATGGTCAGAGAGGCAGTGGGGGGAACAGGTCCCATATGCCCCAGGATGCAAAAACTTGAGCATTACTCTGTGAGATGGGAAGTCACTCATGAGTTTTGAGCAGACATGTGACATGATCAGACTTACATGTTTTAAAAAATCCCTTTGGCTTGGAATGGACAGTGAAAGTCAAGGATGGAGGTGTGGTCACCATGTAAGAGTCCATTGCAGTAATTTCAGCAAGAGATGTAATCCTCAGATTGTTCCTATTTTTTTCAGTGAAATAAGAGGCAAGAATTTCATATGAGAGCAAGGAGGGCGTGATGGAGCTTTAAGGAAAGAGAAGGTATGATAATGGTGGATGATGAATTGAGTAAGGAAGTATGGTAGGATTTCTTACCCAGACATCTGGCAGTAACAAGTAGTTTGCTAAAGTGCTTACTTAACTCAGAACCTATGGGATTTCTCTGTACACTTTTCTTCCTTGTGTCCAGTTTCTCTTCCTTCACCTGTTTCTTGGCCTCTAACTCTAGATGACCTCCAGTTGGCCTACAGAACCCAAGTCTTTATTAAGAAGAAAATGACAGCCCACTGGCAACATCTAGTTTCTTATACCAAAGCCTTTGGAAGGACCTAAGGAGGCCCTCAGAGTGCCCTGCTCTTCTTAAGAGACTGTTATACATGTGTCTGTCATGCCACCACCTCACCCTCCCTCCCTGGAGGCCCATAGAATTCCATGCTCTTGTTAAGACCATTCTCTCCTACCCACAATATAGACCTTATCAGGATTTGAGGGAGACCCACGGGGGTTTTCGTGCTTTCTAGTAAGACCACGACTCCCTGCCTCTATTACACTGCTTGCTTCACAATAGACTGCCTAACAGAGCAGTCCCAACATCAAGTCCTTAATTAGAACTTATGATCTACTTTTCTGGAAATGATCAGTAGAACTAATCTTATTTTGACCCAAAATTCTAAGACTCTAAGGTCTTCTGGAAAATAGCGTATTTAGGGTTAGGTGGAAATGGCTTAAATCACTTCTGTCCATATCTCGCTGACAGAACACGGGTCAGTGGGTGCAGCCTAACTACAAAGGAGACTGTGAATGTGTAACTAGGGATGAGGAAAATGAAGTGGCATTTGTTAAACACAGACAGGCATTGTCTCTGCCATAAACAGTCAGAGAAAAAACAAGTAGGCAGTGGTGACGCAAAGATCAAGGAGAAAGGAATCTTCAGGAAGGAGGAACTGATCATGGTGTAATGCTACAGAAAGGTCAAGTAGGATATGGTTATACTAGGTCTGATTTTTCAGTTGGGAAGTGCCTGGTAACATTATGAAGGGTAGTTTCTGTGAAGTTAAGGTGACATGAAAGAATGGGAGGTGTGGAAGTAGATACATAGAGTGCAGACTATTCTGTGGGAGAATCTAGTGAAGTAACAAGAATAGGGTGCCTATTGAGAGAGAGTTGTTTTTTAATGCAGGCAAGATGTTTATAAGTTAAAGAACTTGCAGTGAAGGAGAAAGTCAAGATAACAGGAAGGTGAAAATTCATCAAGGAGGTCTAGGAGAAGCCAGGAGAGGGCAAGGCCAGAACACTGTGAACATATCAGTCTTGCAAAGGAGGAATAACATGGCCCCTTCTAAGGTGTATGGGAGGGCAACAAGGGTAGGAACAACTGAAGAAAAGTTTATAAGTGAGGGAAAGGAAGTGAAGAAAGTTCATGTCTAGGGGTGTTTATTTTTCAAAGGGTTAATATGTTTTTTTGAAGAGAGTGATGGGGTGGTTGGGGGGGATTTATCAATAAGATAGCTGCTATGTGGTGATTGTAGTGGGGAGGGGGGTGGGTGGAGGTGGAAGAGGTTATAAGGGAGATAAATGGTAATGAAAACAATACAATAGGAAAAGATGGCTGCTATGTGGAAGATGGGGGGAAGGGGCTAACATGAGAAGAAGTATTGTATTCAGGGCTCAGCTGAGGTTGGAGACCCCTAATGTGTAGTGGTACCGATACGCACCATTGTGAGATTTTTTTTCCACTAACACACAACTCTCCAGAGCAGAGGCAGATGTCTGAACTGAATTTTGTAGAGTGAATATTGTGGGATAACTAGGGATTGGTGGGTGACAGCGCTGCTCAGAGAGCTATTACAGTGGTCTAGGATGGATAGGAAAGGAAGTGAGGCCAAGAGAGGGCTGATAGCCTGGGAGGAAGTAGAGGTCAAGGGACTGGATGGCATGAGGAAATGGAAGAACAGAGGCGGTGAGAGCAAAGGAGTGAGAAATGGAAGGATTAGATGTTGTTATTGCCGAAGGTAGGATATTAGAGTTTTAGACTGATAATATGGAGCAGTTATGGGGGCTGGGGGGATCCAGAGTATGACCATGAGAAGAGGTTACTAAAGTTGTTTGAAAGTAAGATGCTATGGAGTTGAAGAAGTTGAAGTGCTCAGGCTCTTCGTGTATGTGGGGTCGTGTCCTGGAGAATAGTCAATGACTTAGACTAGAAGGAATTGATAGCATGAGATACAAAGAAGGAAGGTTTTTTTGCATAAGAGTGAAAGAACAATAGTCTGAAGTGGCAGAGAGGAGCTGGAAAAATGTAAATCCCTTTTTTTCATTTCATCTTCCTCCACCTAGTTTATGCCCTTACCATCCTGTTTGAACTATCGTATTCTTCTAAATGGTTTCCCTGATTTTTGCCTCTCTCATATACCCATCATACATGACTGCTAGCTTAATTAATCTTGTTGAACAGCCTTGACCATTGCTCATTCTTGCTCAAAATCTGCAGTAACTTCCTATCTGCCAGGAGAATAGAATCTGTCTCCCTTAGCCCCACCCTCAAGGTTCCAGGCACAGAGCTGGTTTCAGTCTCTGGTACTACTTTGTTTTATACATCTAGTTTGAGGCAGTATCAAGTACTTAGCTTGTGTTGATTTAAATTTCATACTTTATTAACACTAATCTTGGAGGACTTTCCCAAGTATGGTTTTGTTAGCTGTCAGGAATGTTCTTCCTGCCATCTCTGAATGTCATCCTTCAAGGTCCTATTGAAATGAAGATTAACCTCTGCCTTAAATGACATTTCTATTCTCTGTTCTTCTTGTGTAAAGTATTTCACATTAAGCTTTATATTCTAGTTAGTCATATTAAACAAGAACCACTCCTAATTTATCATTGTACCTCAGCCCATTGCAGCCCCAGCTCATAACACCTGGGTCAGTGTCTTGCCTTTGTAGGGATCCAATGTCTACTGACTAAATGCATGAATACATTCATGAATAAATAAATGAATGAATGAGTAGAGCTCTTATAATATTCTAGTAGTTTTAGGGCTAGAATCCTTCACTAGAAGATGATCTCCCCAAGGTATAGGGCTGATTTTATATAACATATGGTGGGGTAAAAGTAGGTTTATATGGAAAACATACTTTAGTATTGTATGGAAAATTCAAAAGTAGGATTGGATGGAAAATAATACATTAATTAATAAATAATAATACAAGATAAACTCTGTGTTTCATGTACTCACAATAATAAAACTACTCTTGCCCCACCCTGTATGTGTGTGTGTGTGAGAGAGGGGGAGAGATTTTGCATAGAGTAGAGAAGAGATCTGTTGCTTCAAAAATACTGTGGAACAACCAACGCCCAAACTGAGTGACTTAAAACAATAATCATTTGTTCTCATGGATCTGTGATTGAATGAGGGTTTGTTGATCTAGGCTGGGCTTAATTGGGGTAATTTGATTTTGTTTCAAGTGTCTCTTATCCTAATGGAGGCATGATTTTTTTTTCATGGCAATGTCAGAAATATAGTTTTTTACTCTCAATACTTAGCGCTGTTCTGGGAGCATTATACACTAAGAACACAGTAGATACCTAAAAAAATCTTGGTAAGCGGAGTTGAATTAGGCAGCCTCACATCTAAGTCACACTGGTATCGACCCCCAAGTGCTCTAGGCAGGGGAGTCCAACCTGTGGCCTGTGGGCCACATGCAGCCCAGGATGGTTATGAATCATGATTTTGAACACAAAATCATAAATTTACCTACATTATGACACAAACATTATGAGGGTTTTTTTTGGGATTACATGTCACAATGTATTTAACATGTGGCCCAAGACAACCCTTCTTCTTCCAATATGACCCAGAGATGCCAAAAGGTTGGGCACCCCTGCTTGAATAGGACCTTTGACAGCAAATATCTGCTTATATCCCGACAAATAAAATGCCAATTCTTCTAGGTATACAGCAACTCTTGTGGCAGGGACTCATTCATTGACTTAATTATTTGATTCACTGAATCATACAATAAATTGTCATTGATCTATGTGTGATAACTTCACTCTACACTGTAAAGGGGGAAAAAAGCCATCTGTGAGAAAAGCAGACATCTCATGTTTATAAAGTAACCTCCCCTTTTTCTCCTGTTTCGCCAGGCTGTGACAACATGTTAATGGGCATAAAATCTATGAAAATAGTGAAGAAGACTATGGATAGAGATGGCTCTTGGATGAAAGATGCTGTCAGCAACTCTCCAAAGGTTTATTTCTTAATTGGATCCAGAAACAACACTGTTCGGGAATTTGCAAACATGCGGGCACTCATGGAGGATGGCACCAAGTCAGGCTCCCGGAAGCTAATCTTAACACACTCCTGGCAGGGAACAGGCCAAGTGATCTACAATGGTTTCCTATTTTTTCATAACCAAGGGACTCCCAATGAGATAATCAAATACAATCTGCAGAAGAGGACTGTGGAAGACCGAATGCTGCTCCCAGGAGGGGCAGGCCGAGCACTGGTGTACCAGCACTCCCCATCAACTTACATTGACTTGGCTGTGGATGAACATGGGCTCTGGGCCATCCACTCAGGGCCAGGCATCCACAGCCATTTGGTTCTCACCAAAATTGAGCCTGGCATGCTGGCAGTGGAACACTCATGGGACACTCCATGCAGAAGCCAGGATGCCGAAGCTGCATTCCTCTTATGCGGGGTTCTCTATGTGGTCTATAGTTCTGGTGGCCAGGGCCTGCATCGCATAACCTGTGTCTATGACCCACGGGGCACTATCAATGAGGAGGATCTGCCCAACTTGTTCTTTCCCAGGCGACCAAGAAGTCACTCCATGATCCATTATAATGCCAGAGATAAGCAGCTCTATGCCTGGAATGATGGAAACCAGATCATTTATAAGCTCCAGACAAAGAGAAAGCAGCCTCTGAAGTAATGCATTACATCCCGCAGGGAGAGCGCCTTGGCCTTGGAAGCTGCTCTCCAGGACAGTGATGCCATGTCCCCTTTTACAATACTGCCCTCTAATCACATAGAGTGACTGGATCTAGAAGTCAGAATGCATGTGTATCCGCCTAAATGTTACTGCCTTACAGACCTTCCAAGAGCTTAGATGAGAGTCTATCATTCAGAAATTTCAACAAATTCCAATCCATCCAAACTTCCTGGCACTCAAGGCCTTCCACATTCTGATCCAGCTTACTTCCAGCCTTTTCTTTTACTAGCATTTACTCTAACTCTACTCACCCCACCCCTCCAAGCAGTTAGAAAGATAGGCCACCCCTAATACTGTTGGCTTTTCTCTTCTGTGGCCTTTGCTCAAACTCTTTCCTCTTTCACAAATGCCTTTTGATATTCTTCCATTTTTACTGCCCAACTAAACTACTATTTTTTTATTGATGTTTAATCTTGATTTCCCCTAGCTCTGCCTCTCCACCAAGCTAGGTAGATGTAATAAGGTAAACACATTAACATTTGAATACCACTTTCCAGGTACAAAATGTTTGCATCTATGTTACATCACTAAATTCTTATCTTAGTCTTTATAGTTGCCATTTTAGAGATAGAGTTTAGGTGAGCCATTCAAAGTAACAGCTACAAAATAAAAGCTAGAGCTAAATACTGCAAATCCTATCATTTTTTCATTGCCCAAGGAAGCACCAAATACAAGGGAGAACCCCCCCCCCCAAAATCCAGAATTATCTTCTGGAGGATGGACCCCTTGTAGTACAGGATTTCTACCACTAGGTAGGTGTGCTAGGAACCCATCTGTATCAGAGTACCAGCTGGTGGTGTTGTGAGAGGCTGTGTTCGGCTTCAGAGAATTTTTTTTGAAGACTCTTTCAACGTATTTGCCTGTTTCATGAGTGATTTACCATCACACTGGCCCACACCACCCTGGTTATTCAGCAGTTTTTGACCAAAGGCAGCATGGCCACCATGCTCTACCCTCCCTATTCACCTGATCTCACCCCAAACAACTTTTTGTTGGTTTGTTTTCCTGGATGAAACAAGTCCTTAAAGGGCAACGTTTTCACCGATGCGGAAGAAGAGAAACAAAAAATGGCAGAAGCACTAAAAGGCATCAAAATCGATGAATTCAAAAACTGCTTTGAGCAGTGGAAAAAACATCCCGATAGGTGTACTGCATCAAATGGAGAGAACTTTGAAGGTGACTGAGTTTTAAACATGTAAGAATAAATACACAATTTTTTTAATAAATAAGTTCCATTTTTTTGGGTCCTCCTCCTTGTATGCATGTCTGTTCATCAAAACTTTTATAAGCAATATGTTCATCATTTTATACTAAAAATAATGGTCGGCCCCTTTAACCACTTTTCCTGTCCACACAAGACCTTCCTATAGGCTTTTCAAAAACTACTTGCTCCAGAAAACCAGCCTGAGAGGACCCTACCTCTAGCCTCCTCTTGTCTTACTTTCCCTGCATCTCTCTTCTTGCTTGAGACACAATAAAACTGACACGAAGCAAACAAATCTCATCAGGGTATATTTGCCTACATGCCCTCAAGCAAAGCAGTTTCAGGGAGTGCTGCCTCTGCCTGTGTTTGCTGTGAGCAATCCCCATCGCACTGAGGCCCTTGGTAAATATCCTGGAATCTGGATGGAAGCCAGATAGCCTCCAAGTGACTCCCTGCCACAGCAGGCGTGCCATGTGGCACAGGGGATAGAGGGCAGCTGTGCCTGGCCAGAGGGGCTCCTTCAAAATCTTTCCCACGCGTTCGTCCAATTCAGCCCGGTTTGGGTCACAAGTGCAGGCTGTGGTGCCAGTCTGTGTCATGTGCTGAGGCCTCTGTCTTTCCAGGTTGGTCACATGAGAGGGTTTGCTTTGTACACTTGCAGCTGTTGTCCAGACTCTGCCAAGCTCCGGCCAGGGCCACAGGCAGTGAAGAGAGCGATTTTTTTACCCCTTAGCATTTGAGTAGATCTTTGACAGAATGGAATTTCTTCATGGACACAGTGCAATTATTATTCACCATTCACTAATAGAGCAATACAGCAAGCCCTAATCCATTGTGGAATGAGGCAGGTATGAATAAACATGATGGTATTATCCCCTCCATGGGTTTGGGGACATTACCTACCCTATAGGTAAAAGAAGATTATCTATTTCACAGGGATAAGGAATAAGAGCTGCCTCCCAGAGGAGGGAGGAGTGGAATTATTAGCGAGTGGAGTTACGAGTCCCAGGCACAGTTCCTTTGGAGGCACAGAGGAGAGGGTGACTTTCATTTGTGATATGCTTTGAATTGATAGTTTTACAGCATGCACTTTTCATTAACGACACACTCTAGCACCTTAAATTCCTGCAGCTAGAATCACTCTTTTAGGTCAAGACGTTTTTCTCCAGGAAGCTTCTCTTAATGTGCCACTTTTGTACACTTCTTGGGGCTTCTTTCAGGTGCACTATATTTCAGCTCTGGGGTTTTTGTTGGACTTTTAGTCTGGATTGAAGTCCCTATGACCTATACTAATGGTCCTTAAACTTTACTGCACATAAGAATCACCTGAGTTTTAAAAACCCTAATGCCAGACCATAACCCCAGACCATCAAATCAGAACTTCTGGAGGTGGGAGCCAGATACATTTTTAAGTCCCCTCCTCCCAAGTGGTTCCAAATTGCAAATAAGCTTGAGAGCCAGTGACTTACATCATTTTAAAAAAGTGATTGTAAAAAAAAAATTAATTGCATATTTCTGAGAACAGATCAGCATTTTCTGGGGTCTAGGGTCTGGCAGTGGGTCCACTGGAGCAATGACGTGGGATTCGGGAATACCCATGAACTCATGTGAACTATGGCTGCCTCATCTACAAAAGCCTCTCTGCTGCTATTTTAAGGAAGTGAAAGAGAACTGAAGGGTGTCCTGTTGTAACACAACTCTTGTGGGCCCCAGCCTTCCTCCGCTGGCTTTGCCGTTAGTCTGCTTCTGGCCAGGTTCCCACAGTGACCAGAGTCTCATATTAGCCAGGGTGGCTTAAGTTCTGTTCACATGTAAAAGTCTTCTGAGCACACTGGTAATTTCAGACCACCAGGGTAATTTGGGGGAAAAAAAAAAAAAAGATGTGCCTTGTGGAGTTTGTCAACACTTCAGTCTGAAGAAGCATAGAGAAAAAACCTGAGGCCAGGGCTGCAGTGGCTCCTGCCAGAGCTGGGGACTAGGCCAGCGTCCCTGGTGTCGGTGCCATCTGAGGCCCACAGGGATTTTAATCAGCTCAACTGAGCGACCAGTCCTTAGAGGCCTAGGCAGGGCAACAACGAGCAGTACAACCAGAGGGGATTCAGGCCACACGCTGGTGGAAGGCATTGGACTAGATCTTCAGGGCCCAGTCCTGCCTGCATTCTAGAATCCATTCCCTTGGTCAGACTGGCAAAAGTATTCTTGGGCCTACGGACCCCAGACTTGGTACTGTACACAGAGAAGTGCTTCTGGTTCTCAGCTGCTCATAAGGCTGGGCACCAGTGCCTTTAGTTGGCGCTGACCACTAGAGGGACCTCCACCCCAGGTAGAGGGGTTCAAGCGTGGCCGGACCTTAGGTTGCCTCAGAGCCTTCCATATTGAGGGGCGAGGATTGAGCGTTTGGGGCGGGGGTTGGAAACCAGAGACGAAGAACGACCCTTCCCTTTGGCCAACCTCAATTTGGACAGAATCGCACGGATCCGGGAGTCCAGACACTCAACGTGTTTCTGCGCTGGATGTGCCTCTAATTGGTGTTTCTATGGCTTTTCTTTCTCTGCACTTCGCGACACGAATTTCCTTTCAGCTTCCCCATTGTCATTCCTTCCCTTCGGGGAATGGTGCTGAAGGACCGGAGAAGCCCTGGGGACTGAGAGCCGGGAACTGCCTGGCGGCTTCCCCGGGGCGAGAAGGGTGAGGGACAGGGAGGTGACAGGAGCGGAGCGGGGCGGGGCTTCAGAGAGGGGCGTGGCCTTCGGAGAGAGGCGGGGCGTGGAAACGAGTGCGGTCCAGGGGGCGGGGCCGGGGCTAGACGGACCCGGGCTAAAGTAGGTTTGAAGGGGCGGGGTTGACCAGGTGGGTCACTGAGGGACCGGAACCTGTGGCCGACTGGTCCGTGCGGTTCGCAACGGTGCCGGAGCGGGAAGGGGAGCGACAGAGGGGCGGTCCCAAGGGAAGGAAGGCGGAGGAAGCGAGCGCTCCGGGACGAGCCTCCCGAGGGTTCCCGCCCCCGTCACGTGGGCTCCAGACCCGGCCGCTGCCGGTCGGTCCGCGGGTTGGTCGGTCGGTCAGTTAGTTGGTCGGTGGGTCAGTGGCCTGCAGCTCGGCTCTCAGCTCTCATGTTCGGAAGTGGGAGGGACCTGGGAGAGGTCCGCACACCTGAGCCGCCCGGAGAGGAGCCCTGCACCCAGGTCAGTGGGCTCTCCCAAAGCCCCCAGGCCCGCTGCGCGGTCCGGTCTGGGAGCGCCCGCGGGGGCATTGCCGGGGACACGGAGAGCCCCCAGATCCTAGAACCACCCGGGGAGCAGATATCAGTGACAGTACCCCAGAGCGTGTCCCAGGCGCGAGGACGGGGACCCACTTCTCCTCTGGCCAGAAGACTGGGTGGAGGGTATACCTCCTGTAGATTTGCTCCGAATCTCCACCCAGCTCTCCCGGGATCTACGGACAGTCTGCGCCCCTACAGTTGCTAGGGTGTCCCCGGAGATGCTCTGGTTGATCGGTCACTTAAGTTCTGTGTGGTATGTCAGAGCTCTGCTCAGTCCCCTGGAGCAGCGGTGTAATCTAGAGAGCTCGAGGTGGTTGGGAATTTTACTGTCTGATTTGCCCAAGCCAATCTGTATCGACAGAGCATGTATCCAGATGCAAAGCTTTGGCTGAGACTAACTCTATACTGTAATTGCAAAAGTGCAACATGCTTTTGAGACTCTCAGGCCAGTGCCTCCCAGGAGACTGTTAGAAGGGGGTTCCTAATTGAAAGTGGGCCCCTCCTCTCCCTCCTGACACCCTGACTCTAGACCCCACAGTTTTTCCTCAGATAAAAAAATAAAATTATATATCTAAAGACCAGAACTTTCAAAGTTTGGGTAAGATTGAAACAGGCATTCTAGTCAGTGTTTAATCTTTAAAAAAGAAAAAGAAAGAAAGAAAGAAATCCGGAGCATTATATTTTTACATTTACAGCGACTGGGTATTGGGTATAGATCTGTCTCCCTTTCCAGTTTTGGTCTACTTCTGTCTTTCTCTTCTTCTCGCTCCTCCTCTCCCAATTCCTTAACTGATTATAATGCATATCTAAAGTGTTTCCAAATTTTATGTTGCATTTTGTGAATTTAAATGACCAACTACAGAAAGGTAGTTGGCTGTAAACATAATTAATTCATCTTAAACATGTTCAGTCTTTGGTGATTATTTGTATATGGAAAACAACGTTATTTGATCTAGAACTGTTTCTCTTTTGTGCTTAACAGAGGTAGCCCATTTGTATTCTGCTCAAATTCATGTTTAAGTGACTTTGAAGTGGGTGATGATTTAACACATTATTATTATTACTTTGAGATTTAATGATGTGCCAGTTACTAGTTTATTGCTACTGCGGAGACACACAGTATCGAGGTCTCTTCTTTACTGGGGTAGCTATAGGAGGTTCCACGAAGGAGGTATGAACAGAGTTGTGGGAATTCCTGACCTTCATCTGAGCAGAGAAAATCTGGGATAATTTCAGGAAGGGGATGTCATGCCCTGAGAAGTGGCAAGTTGCCCAGGTGGGCCCCTATGGCTAGTGGTAAACAATAAAGTTGACAAGGATGAAAGACATGGTCCCAGCAAGGTGATGAAGTTCAGGTGCAGAGTCTGAACTTTATCTTAAAGCATGGAAGCCAATAAAGGGTTTTAAGCAGGGGAAGGGTGGGTGTTTCTGAGTTTAAAGTCAGGGGCCTTCGACCTAGGCCCTCCCAACTTCCCAAACCCTACTACGGTGTGGAGAAAATCTAGTCACTATTGTGGGATGAATAGTCAGGCAACACTTTCAAGCAGTGTTTCTCAACTTGAACAAGCTTAAGGATCACATGGGGATCTTGTTCAAAAGCAGATTCTGATCACCAGGTCAGTGGTGGGACCTGATATTCTGCATTTCTAACCTATTCCCAGATTGTGAGATCCCTTCACTATCTAAAATGGAGATTTAGAGTAGTAGTTTGCAAACTTGGTATGCCTCAAAATTGCCTGCGGAGCTTTTAAACTACTCAGGTTAAGTAGGTTTGTAAGGTTTTTAACCAAATTCCCCCCCCCGCCCCCCGCCCTGCTTCCGCCGGTGATTTGACGAAGGCTGAGTGGGAACGCCTATAGTGGATTCTTGGCAGTGCTGTGGGAAGCAGTGACCAGAAGGCAAAGACACTGGGACTGGAAAGCCCAGATAGGAGCCTGGAAAGTCCATCAGGACTGAAGCAATGAGGCCTTATATTGGGCCTGAGAGAGTGGGCCACTGAGGCAGGAGAGACGAGAGAAAGAGAGAGAGAGAGATTCTATAGGACAGGGGGGTAGGGAGTGGGCCGTGTCTGTCTCTTGACTGACTGCACAGGTTAAGTGAGGCGGGAAGAATGATTCTGAGAGAATCCAGCTTTAGGGGAGGAATGGCATGCACTTAGGACTGTAACAATATGCTGTAACATTTGAAGTTATTTTTTTACCTGGCCACCAGAATTGTTTTTCCAAGAATAAATCTGTTCATGACACCCCCCTACTTGAAATCCTCTGGTGGATTCTCTGTTGCAAAACATGAGGAAGAGCTAATAGGAATACACTTATGAGGCATTTAAACATTTATTAAGTTCCCAGACTGTGCACCCCCATTCAAGATGTTGTACTCAGAAAAAAAGAGAAAAAGATATGACACTGTCACCACATGGTGTGGGCACAACTGGCTAAAACTTTGACAGTTTTGTGTTGTCCTGAGCTACTATTTTTCCTGCTTCCTCCTGGCACGTATGTGGCAGCTTTCAGAGAATCCACAGGTAACCTCAGAAAGGTGGGCTGTATCCTTCATAGACTCTGAAAGCCAGGTCTTATTCGACCTGTAGATCTTTGGAAGGTGCATTCTTATTTCTCACTCACCACCAGGCAAGTAACCTGGGAGGTGCTGTCCCAGAGCATCTGTTCCCCTTGAGACCCAGATCGCCCCAAGGACTTTCAAGTTCCAGGGGCTGCTAATTCTCAGAGAATTTATATTTGTTTAACGCTTCTAGGTAATTCCTAATTTATGCTCCTTGGTAATTCTTACTTTCATTTCCTCTGTCACATACATAGTTATGCGCACTGACCACTAAGCATTCATTATGTGCAATGCTTTTAATCACCATCTTCCCTGTTGTATAGTATCTTGACCTCTAGTACGTCTGTAGATAGAAAGTCTAGACACAGATGGGATAGGATTGTCTCTCTGAAAGGATAAAGTATAACATCCTTGTACAGCATTCTGCACACAAGAAGACTCTGCAGAGGCTGGCAATAATTTAGCTCACCAGCTGCATCTCCACTGTTCTGCAAACTGAGTACCTCACCAATTTCTATCCTTTGTGCCTCTCTGCCTTTGCATACACTATTTCCTCTTCCTGGAAGGCCCTTTGTTCTCAGCTCTGAGTTGTACGCACTCTTATTAATCCTTCAGAATGCAGGTCCAACTCTAGAAACACCTCTCCTTTCTCCACCCCCAGGTCATATTTACTCTTCTCTCTAACAGTACATATGTATAGCATCAAATACGGATCTCTGTTGTGGTACTTAGGCACCTTATTTGCATATCTCTGTCCACCTGCCCTGCAAACTCTGAGCTGCTCTAGGGCTGCATCAGCCCTTGTGTGCGGCCTGTGTGTGGCAGAGTTCAGGAGTGGCAGACAGGAGCCTTGAGCTCGCTGGTTGTGCAATGCTTGCCTCAGTAAAGCGGGGAAGGGGCAGGTTTTGTTGCAGAGGACATGAGGGAAGGACCAAGAGCAGAACTTGAAAGACTAGGACAAGCCCATTGAGGACTGGCCCACATGGCTAGAGTCATAGGGTGAGGTGGGGAGGGGACACCAGCAGAAGTGAGGCTGTGGTCTTAGCAGGGAAGAGATCACAGAAGGCCCTAGAAGTCGGAGCTAAAGAATTTAAATTTTATTCCGATGACATCAAAGGTCTTTGAGTATGGAAAAGACATGGTGGAAGCTGTTCTTTGAGAAAGATTCAGGGCTGGGAAGGGCAGCCTGGAGAGAGAGAGGAACTCCTCGTGAGCATGCACTGTTGGACTAACCCACTGAAGTGGATTAGGACCTAAATCAAGGCAATGGCACCGGGGATGGAGAGGAGGAAACAGCAGTGCATGAGCTTGCCAAGAAATCCTGGAGGATTTGGTGACTGATTGGATTTGAGGGAGGGAGAAAAGAGTCAAATTGGACCCTGACATTTCGTGCTAGTTTGCTGGGAGAAGAATGAGGCAATTGTTAGCAGCATGAGAGCATGGGGGAGCCTGCAGGGGGGAAGGCAAATGAAAGTGGTTGATTCCCCTTGGCATCAGGAGGAAGCCAGGCATAGTTTCTTGCGTGCCCCTTATACTCTTACGCAGAACGGTGAAGTCCAAAGGAAGGCTCAGCCACTGGTGGCAGAATCCAGGCCTTCTGGTCCTCTGCCCTGGGCCTCTATCCGGTGCCTCTGGAGCTCGGTGGGTTTGGCCAGAGGGGAGTTGCCAGAAGGTCCAGATGGAGATTCCATTTAGGCAATAAAAAATGGGAAAGAGACCAGGTTTGGGGTGAATTCAGCCTGCAGGGCAGCTATGGCTAGAGTCTTATAGGTCAAAGACTCAGAGTGAAAGTGTCTGCTGGTAGCCAGTGCCAGTGAGGGTGCAAAGAAGGCTCATGAGCCCGCCTTTCTGTCCTGTGGGCTGGCTATACATGGGCTCATGGGCTCATGGGCCCATGGGGAGAGCTTTTAGGGAATCGGCACTCAGGGTTGTTAGCGCTCAGTGTGGGTACATGTGTAATAAATGGTTTTTCTGGTACTGCAATCACCAATCTATAGTTCTATGGAAAGATGTATTCCAAGATCCAAAAACCTTTACTTTTTCTAGATAAACTTTAGGGACACACCCAGCCAGTCATGAGAAGTTGCCTGTGTAGTGTTGGAGTGGGGGTGCTGGAGGGGGCACCTCTGTGGGGAAGGCAATCAGCCCCGAGGACCTCCTTGAAGCTGGGGCTTGTGTGTAGGGCCGGTGTCAGGGATCCAGACGGTTGGGGGAGGGCCAAAGCTCTCAGATGAGTAGGGAGGACTTCCTCTAGAATTTTAACCATGGCCAAGAGGCTCAGTGACCTGAGGCTGGATTTCCTCCCTTCCTTACCCCTCCTTTCCACGCCTCTCTGCCCAGCCAGTTCTCCCCAGCCTCCAGCTTCCTAGCATGAGCCCTGCCTTTGCCATGGCACAGTGTTCACCTCGGTTTGATAACGCCGACCTGGGTTAATGCATGTAAAACATTTAGGTCATTGCTGGGCATGTGGTAATTGCCAAATAAAAACAAAGACACAGGGAATGCTGGGATTTGACTTTGAGGAAAAACTTGTCAAGCCTCTTGGCTCTTTTCAGCTATGTAACTGGGTCTGGCAAGTTTCTGCTTCATATTGTTTTGAGTTTTTTTTCTGTGCATTTTTTTTTTTTAACTGAGACCAGGATATATGCACGAGTTTGCTTACCCATACTAAAGACGCGAGATCTGGGTTGTTCACATCTCAGGGAGGACTTATGCAGAAGTGAGTGGGTGGAGTGCCTGCTACTAACAAATCTTTAGGAAGAAATTGTTAACCCAGATGTAGCTACGGGGAATCGATGGTACCCTGGCCTCTCCTCGTGCCTGCAGCTGCTGCAGCGTTCCCAGGTGGCTCCGATTTGGGTACACAGGCATACCTCTTTTTATTGAGCTTTGCTTTATTGTGCTTCACAGATGTTGTGTTTTTGAAGGCAGACCCTTGGCCAACAAAAAGGTTACAACTAGCTTTATTGCGATACTCACTTTATTGCGGTGGCCTGGAACCAAACCCGACTGTATCTGTTTGCTCCTTGAGAACAGGCACAGGGGAGGAGGTGATCCAAATCTCAGGGTTTCTGTATCTGCTTAGAGAATGCCAGTGCTTGCTGGTCCTGGGAGTGTGTTTTAGTAGCATAGTCCTGCCCTGACTCCCAGGGAAAGACATAAATCTATAGCGACTTACGAGCACGGATGGAATTACCAGTCAGAGGTAGCTCTCAGTCAGTGGGCCTCTCATCTGGGCAGGGACTACTGTGGCCCGGAGTGACTGTACTGGGGTGTGCCAAGAGGTCTTAGCAAACTTCTCTCACCTGCTTCTGGCAGAAAAGACCCAGAGAGCCCTGTCAGAAGGAACTCCTTGGGTTGATAACCTGTGTTTGTGCACGTGTGTATGTCTGTGTGTGTGTGTGTATGTGTGTGTGTGTGTGTGTGTGTGTGTGTGTGTGTGTGTGAGAGAGAGAGAGAGAGAGAGAGAGAGAGAAGAGAGTTATGTAGGAGCCAAAAGGTCTTTTGTAGGGATTAAGCCATAGCTCATCCAGGAAGACCAGACTTGGGTAACCATTACTACCTGCATGCCTATGTGGCAACTCCTTTCTCTTCAGTGGCCAGTTTCCTTCCCTGAATACATGACATTTCCCTTGAATCAAAGAGATTTTCACATGAATAGCTAGCTCCTTGGGGGACTGACTTTATGGAGACAACAGAGGTGCAGACAGGACCCTCACAAAGCTGCCTCCAGAGGGAAGGCTAGAGTGGAACTTCAGCTTTGGCAGATTTTACGAAGGGCTTGCCTTATAAGATAGTGTTATTCCTATTGAAAGGGGAACTCTAGAGTTACAGATTTTAGCTGCAGTTATAGTTGACAAGCTTAAGTGATTAATGCTTGTGGAAAGCTGCTATCCCATGAACTGGAATACAGGACTTATTGACTCCAGAGGTCGATAAGCAATTCAACCTTTGTGCCCCAGGTGGTCTGCAAGGATGGAAATAGTATCTGAGCCATAGTGTTCCAGGGAGGATGCAGATAAAAAATTGTTGATTAGCAGATTACATCTCTTATATGAGTAACATTTTTCCCAAGCCTTTTTACCTACTCTTCATCTCCTTATAAAAAGGTTGGCTTGAAATGAGATGTTAAGATGGTTTTTTAGGGTGTATAGCCCTCTGTCTTCTCAGATCACTGGCATCTGAATAAAGTGCCCATAAAGAGTCAATCCTTGTCTCTGCTTATTGGCTCTGGTAGTGACAGGCAGCAGGAATGCCCACTTTTCCTGTTTCATTATTTTATGGGAGGGAAACAGGTGTTAGAGAAGTGAAGTGATTTTTTTAAGGTCGCAGAATATTAGACTTAATTTATCGTCCAATCAGGGGCACTTTTGAGTGTGAAAGGAGGTGAACACATGCTGAATTGGATGGGAACCTGGGATGACTAGGATGTGTGATATCAAACTCCAAATTCAATAAGGAACCAGGACATATAAGTGGAGGGGGGATTGGGGAGAATGAATTGCAACAGGGAGAGGGGGGAAGTTAAAACTTGAATTTGGGTGGGAAAGGCAGATGCTTCTAATTCAACATTTTGCTAAAGCAAAGGGATAGTTCTTGGCTCTGACACCTGACCTTGAGTAGATGTCATGAAGAAGTTTTATTATATAAGCTCTTCCTGCAACCAGCCAAGACATCTGGTTCTTTGATACAAGGCTGCTCAACAGTAACAACAACAACCACCCTCTGTGTTCATCTAGGTTTCTCTGTGCCAGCTCATTGGAACTGCACAATGCCTCGGGCTGGGATTCTCATCCTGTTTCTGAAGATGAGGAAACTGACTCCTTCTGCAAACCCCCACCCCCCAGCCCTGCTTTATTCCAGCGTGGCAGGCAGCATGTCTTCTCTTCCATGAGGACTTGGCCTCCCTAATCTCTGAGGACCCTGGTAGCTCTAGAGTGTGGACTTCCAATCAGACAGGCCTCCATTTAAATTCTAGCTCTGCACAGACTTGCTGTTACTAATTTAAGCAAGTACCTACCTCTCTGAACCTTAAGTTCCTCATCTGTCAAGTGGGAATAGGCCTATTTTATGTGGTGTTTCAAGAATGAAATGAGATGATGCACAGAAAATGTTGGCTGCAGTGCTTGGCACATTGCAAGTATTCAGTAAATGGTATCATTATTATTATTATCTTCTCAGGAATCCTGGGGAAAAAATCCTGTGTCAAGAGGAGTGATTTACATCATCCAGGTATAAGCTGATACTGAAATTTCAAGGGGAAGTAGCATTTTCGGACCTCCAGGTGTGACACAAAGGACAACCGTGGTGGGGATGAGCAGGAAGTCCAGGAGGTGGGGAGTGCAGGGTGGGGAGCAGCCTGGTTTCAGATGGCTGGTCTCCAAAGGTCAGGACAAGGGCAGCAAACAGAGGTAGCTCAGAGCCCAAACCAGCTCAGTGGGGTGTGGCAGGGGTAAGTGCAAAGTCGTCTTTAGGCTCAGATGGCAGTTGGTGTGAGTATCCTACTTGACTATGTGGAAAAACCCACATACATTGGCTTAGCCTCTGCATTACTAGAAGTCCTGGGTTTAGACCTTGCTAGGGGATCATCCCCCTTTCCCTGCACTGTCCAAGAGTGGCCCCACCTGGAGGTAGGACCCTGGACAGCAAATTTTGGGAGCAGGTGGAAGAGAGAACTTAAATGCTACAAAGCTGGATTCCCAGCCCTGTAAGCTTTGAAAGGACCCAGGGACAGACTGGAAGACACCAGGCTGTGATTGTGATTTTTCAGGTGGGCAGGGGAACTACCATGTTCTGTTGTTCAGAGGGCACAGTTGAGGGTCTGCGGTGGTGACGGTAAAGGGAAAAGGAGGAGTTAGATTTCAGCTTGAGATGACGTAAGAAATTCCAAATAGCTCAAGCTTATCTCTAGGGCTGGGCAGCTGTCTGGAAGCATGCATTTGAGTCTACCCCAAGAGGATATTGTCCAAGCAGCAAGGACTAGAGAGAAGTTTGTGAAATAACAGAGGGGCAGAGTTTGCTGAAAGGTTAAAAGTCTAACTAAAAGTGCTGTAGAATTTGGGGGGGATAATTGGTGACTCCTGAGCAGAGATGACTTGCAGAAAATATAGGGTGGGATAAGGGCAGGAGGCTGGGGAAGGGCAGCCTTAAAGCTGTGCAGAAGCTTCTCTGTCTCCTGTCACAGGCTGAAGCCCCCGCTCGGTAACGGGCAGGAGGGAGGAAGGGGGTCTGAAGAAATGCCTGTGTGGCTGAAACTGAAGCTATGATCCCAAAGAAGTGATTGTACTATGTATAGTCTCTGCTGATGGTTGCCTTGGCCCATCTGCCTGACAGGAGCATGAAGGCTCTGATAGCATTATGGGCCACCTGTTGAAGATTTTGAGGACACAACATCCTGGTTCTCGGAGGACTAAAGCCATGTGGTCTGGGGCACTGGACTCACAGCATCCAGGACACTGGAAATTATGATTGTCTGGACCCTGGGCCACAGAACAAGCTTCCTGTCCCAAGAGAAGGTGGGGGAGGGCTGTGGGCAAGAGGGCCTCATTCACGTAGGCTGAGGTTTTGGGTGGGGTGCATGGATGGAGGACGGAGAGTGCTGTGGTTAAGCAACGTGGACATCTGAGGGGCACACCATCCCGGCCTAGGGGGTAGGGAAGGGAGCCTGGTCAGGCCGTAGGAGGGGAAGCCATAGCAGCCTCAAGTCAGAGTTGGCCCACTGGATCGAGGGGAATGCTCACCCTTTTAAGAGCAGAGGTAGAGTGTAATTCTTAAGTACTCTAGAGTCAGTGAATTCGTGATCTCATTTATTATTTCAGTTACCAAATGATTTTTGACTATCCTCTGTACTGAATACTGAGATGGCTGGAACATGAGATGAAAAAACTTATCCTTCTTAGATGAAATTTAAGGAATATACCCTTTACTAAAAATAGGCAGTAATACCTGCAAAGAAAACACAGTGAACATAGAAAGGAGAAGTTGGGGCACCTAGCTTGCTGGGGAAGTGGCATTTGATGTGTGTGTGTGAAGGAAAGACAGGGACCAGAGACATCCCTTTTTATGGGAATGAAGGGCGTTTGTAGCAGAGGGAGCAGCAATGCACAAAGAAAGGCATGGGGATGCTAAATTATGGGGCAGATATGGCAGACAGACAGTGGTTTGGTTTGGCTGGAACTGAGGGGTAAGTGAGGTTAAATAGGGAACCAGGGATTGAAGTTATCAGCTATTAAGTCCCCACCACACGTCAGGCAGTGAGCACAGGGTCATCTGTGCTCACATCTCACAGGATCATCTGTGCTCACATCTCACAGGAGCCTTTCAAGGCTTTAACCGAGGAGGAAACTTGACTCAGTATAAGTGACTTTCCTAGGTTCTTTATTTGGTGATTGGCTGAAATACGACTTTTGCACAGTCTACCCGGTCCCCAAACCCATGTTCTTTCCACCGTATCTTGCCACTACGTTGAGAGTCTAGATTACAGTCATACCTCAGTACTCATCGGCTTCAGAATTTGTCAAACCCTATACTCTTTGCATTTTGGTGAGAGAAGAAAGTTTCAGCACTCGGCACCCCTCTCTCATGGAACCGAGGTCTGTGTGTCAGTCTCATGGGTAGTTTGGTGCTCGTTGGTTTCAGCACTCGTCATGAGTTCCAGAACAAATTAATGATGAGTACCGGGGCATCGCTGTATTTAGTTTTAAGTTTGCTGTGAAGATCAGCTCTTCCTGTTGAGGCAGGAAGATGGTTGGTGTATGCATGTCAGACGACATTAACTTTGAGAAGCATTCAGTGGACGTGGCCAGATTGTTATGATGCATGCCTGGCCCCAGGAAATATGTGTATGTAAACGCATGTGCGTATTTAGGAAGTAAATCCCGAACATAGTAGGAAGTTGCATTGTTGTTCATGGTGTCATAGAAAATTACTCCCTGGGACTATGGGCGATTGCTGATTTCCTGGCCAAATTCCTCTATTTTCTCTCCCACTCAAGAAAGTATATTAGAATGGGGCAAGGTAATCTGGAATATTCTCCAGTCTATACGAAAAGATTCTTGGCTTTAACTACTTTATCATACAACCCATCTCGCCTGTTGGGGGCCGTGCAGGGATGGTAAGTAAGACGGTGCCCTGAAGTGGGTGGGAAGGGTGGGGTGGGGGTGGGAGTCAGAGAACCTGGGCAGTGACCCAGGTGGGGCTGTGGGGGTGGTAAGGAGCGGCGGGTGCCGTTCCGTAGCATGTTCCGCTGGGAGCCTGCCCGTGCAGGGGTGTGCAGTGGGTGCTGGGATACCTGCGTGAAAAGAGAGCATTGTTTTCACAATGGCATGTTCAGGCTCTAAGCAGGTGGATGCTGGAGGTGGCTGCCTGCTCAAGTTGGGGTTCATTCTTATTCTGTGTCCTGAGAGCCAGCCAGCCCTTATTGTGGAACAGGTCTGCCCAGAGCCCCATCCTCTGTCCAGCCTGGCCTCCCTCCTGGAGCTCAACCCAGATCCAGGCCCGGCCCCTGCACTTTGCTTCTGTCCTCAGGGTGGACGTGGGCTCCTTCAGGCTTCCTTATGGGAATGTTTCCCTCAGCCCAGAGGGAGAAAGCCTAAAACCATCTAGGAAAGCTGGAGGCTACTTAGGTAGTATTTGGGCTGCAGTGACTCAGGATCTCATGTTTCGCAGGGGACTCTAGGTGGGACAAAACTCAACCTTCATGTCCTGCCTACTAATCATGAGCACTTGGAAAGCTTAAGAGCTGCTCCAAGATCACAAATCCAGTCCTCAAATATCATGATTAGTTATACTTGAAAGAGAATTTTAAGTAAACATAATAACAATTGAATAAGGACTGGCATTCACAGGAAGAACCCAGCACGCTGCATGAGACACGCATCTCACGGCATCTGTTACACATCATGTGTGGAAACCTTTCCTCAGTAACTCCAGGCGTGCTCGCCTGTTTGGCTCTGGGTGTTCCGTAAGAGTGTCATGTCCGCCAAGAGCAATTGTGGGGCCTCTCTGGGTCACAAATACAATCTGGCTGTCATCTCTCAGGGCCACCACTGAGTGAAATGGGCCTCCTGAGAAAGTGCCAGGGACTGGACACCTCCCGCTCCCAGGCTAAAGCCTTTCACAAATGTGGTCAGGATCTGGTCCTTCCTCTCCTCAACCCGTAGAGCCCTGTTTCAGCTGCAGTCTCCGCATTCGGGGTCTCCCAAATCCGTCTCCCCATCTCCCTCTGCCAGGTGTCTGCTCGTTCATCATCAACTCTGCTCACTCTCACTGAGCCAGGCACCTGGTGGGGCTGGTGGAGTGGCTGAAGAAGGGGCTGTCAGAGTCTGGTGGCTCAGCCTTCCTGTCAGACACTGCTACAGAGAGACAGAAGTTCAGACCACGTACACTGTGGTTGTTCCCCCCAGATCTGCCTAACTAGGGGCCGGCTTCAAGAGATTTGGCAACTTCTCAAAGTCATATACCACCCCACCTTCCCCCACCCCCCTAGAATTCAACAATTAGGCCCTGATAAGGGATCTTGGTCTTGGCTAAACCCATCATCTGGAATAGTGCAGTTAGGGACATGTTGTCCAAGAGAAGAGAGGCCGGGTGTTGCATATTTACTGGCCCGGCACTGGGCGGGCCATTTACTCTGTCCTCTCTCCTAACCACCTGCCCCGTGGAGCAGATATTCTTATCTCCATTACGTAGTAACCTGAGACCTTAATATGTATTACCCAAAGCCAGGATTTAAACCCAAGTCGCTCTGACTCCAAAGCTTGGACTCTTTCTACTTCCTCCTGCTCCTTTTCTTCAGGGGATGAGAAAAGGAGTCAGAGAAGCCTTGTGTTTGGGCAGGGCTGCGTGTGGGTATCAGCACTGCCTTCCCCTTCTGTGGCCCTTTTGAATCACACATTCTTCTCCACCTTTCACTTTGAGTCTGGGGAACTATTCAGGTTTCTCCTATGGGAAAATAATGGCCCAGCTTTACGAACAACAAGAGGTAAGAAAAGGGAGAGAGGCCCCCAGGAAATTCTGCAGAGCCTGTCACTCCTCTGGGGTCAGGCTGACAGACTTCCAGAAGCAAGACCTCCCGGGCCCCCAAGGAGGGGAGACCTAAAGCAGTGCAGTTCTCCAGGCAGCTTCGCTTTGATCGACATGTGTTTGTGTACAAATGGGGGATTCCTGGATCACTTTTCCTAGGAAAGTCCCTGAACCACTGTCTGGCCTAAGTGCTCTTAGGGGAGGGAAGT